TATTTTAAAGGCAAGCTGGAACTGATATATGATACATATATATCATATATATGGTATTTCTACTTCAGAAGGATCACACTTTTTTTTTTCCCCAGGTTGTTCTAGAAACGTAAAATTTGAGCCGCGTAGGTGGCGTATTTCGTATTTATTTTTCCATTAATTTTTATACGGATTTTTTCACTCCTGCATCCCTCACTAGCTAGGCGTTCTCCACAGCGTTCATTCCTACAGCAGAGAATGTCTTTCTGGCAGCAATGCAATCGGGTGGTTTAAAAGACTGCAATAAACATCAGTAAAGATATACATGCCTATCTTTTTTATTTTGATGACATTAATACGCACAGAGCTGGAAGTCATCTTACCACACTAGCTGAGCAATGGAAGTAGAAAACTCCTTCAGTCTGCAGCGAAAATACATGTGATCAGGCAGAGTCAAGCCGTGGGAGAAGCTACCTCTCTCTCTATCTCTGCCCCCCGCCCCCGGCCTCTACAGAAACATGTCTCCTTCCTTTCTCTTGCTCATCCCTCTCAAAGCTCTGATGAATGCTCGCTGGTTCTTGCTTTCACTCGAGCTGTTTTATGCACACATCATCAGCATCCTTACCTGGCTGACTGAGGGCGAGCAGAGTCACGGCATTCACCCGGTTTGACTTCGCCAGTGCTGTCACTGACTCTCACCCAGTGCCTTTTTTGTTACCCTTCTTCCCTGTCCTCCACTTGACCTCCCAGTGTGATCCAGTTCCCACTGGTGGCTGGGATCCTGACAGCTGGCTGGGGCAGGTGGCTCTGGCGAGGACTCTGCTTTGCATCCAGACAGCCAGTACTCACCGTACTCTACTCTTGTTGCTTGAGAGAGCAACTCTTCCTGTCTGACCAGCCCGGTTGAAACACGAGGAGGAAGCGGATCGTTTTCTTCACCGTTAGCTCTTTCAGGTGTAACCAGTGCCCTGTGCGTCTTTTTCTTCTTATCGGTAACGGGAGTCGGTTTGTTCTGATGTTCTTCTGGTTATTTTTTAAGCAGTGGTATGTGACCCACCTCCGCTTTGCTTGGCCACTTGTCTCAATTTGACTCTGACTGGGCTTTTGAAAGGCTGTCCTGTGCTCCCCACCATCTCTGTGTGACACCTGCAGCAAGCGTCATTAAGAGGCCACTGTGGAGCTGATGGACTTCAGACACTGGTCACAAGATGTGGTTGTACCTCAGGCAGTGGTGCCTTTTGGCGCTGTTGACTTTTTAATGGCAGTCTCAGAGAGGCGGTATAGTGAGGAAGGATGTGCAAGAAATGAATCCTTTGAAATGTTGAAGCTGAATCGTGGTCACACAGACGGCAATACTGATTATTCCTTAATGATCTCTGATGAGGTGCTTATGGTCATTACATCTTTGCTTAGAAGAGCTGTCAAATCCAGTTCCTTAGTGTCATTTCACAACCACCTCTGGATCACTTGCTAAGTTGTTGATAGGAGTTGAGTGCAGCACAAGAAGTTAAGGAGCAAACTTGACTCAGCCTTCAGGATGCAGGCTGGAGATGGCTGAATTGGGGTGGTGTTTGGCAGAGCTCATGATGAACAATCCCTGTCAGAGGCAAAGGGGTCAAGGTCTGTCTGGAGAAGTTCTGGCAGAAGAAGGGAGAAGAAAGGTGAGGCAAGCTCAGGAACACCTGGAAGACGAGGTGCTAAGTCAGGCAGACGGATGGGAGGGAGAGTAGAAGTCCCGCAGGAAGGGCCAAGACTGAGTCATTGCTATGGAAGGGAACCGAAGCCCATTTGAGCATGGCTGGCTGGTGGGCCAGACCGTGATTCAACATGAGGAGTGGAAAAGATCAGTTGTTATTTTTAACAGAGGGAGTCACAGAAGAGCAGTGTGGAGAACGTGATAACTGTTATTTTTTATAAACATGTATTCTTTGAGGAAGATGGACTTTGGGCTTTGGCTGGTTTCTCTGCTTTCCCACAGGGAGCAAAGATAGCTGTGGAGCAAGGTGCTTCACAGCACAGCTGGGGAACGAGTGTGCCAGACCTCTTGCAGTTGTTGCCCTTGCCCCGTATCGAAGTGGCTGGAGATGCCTTAACAAGAGGAAAGTCAGCAGCAACGTGTCCCTATGTAGCTTGGAGCATGAAAGCGTCAAGTGACCCCAACCTCCTTGTCTGTGGGCTCACAGATCAGATTATCTGGCCACCGAGTGGAAGTGGACCTGCGTTAGACCCTGTGAATTGTGCTTAGCCTCTACAGGCAAAAAGATGATTTATCCTCTCAGCTTCAAACCACCCTCCCCATTTTTGTTTTGTTTTGGGTTATTTTAAAGAGCAAGGAAAGGACTCAGCCGTTGCCACAGCCCTGGTCACACTCCCCATGGATGTCTGGAACAGCTGCCCAGTGAAGGCATGGTGATGGTGGAGGATGGGCCAGCGAGTGGCTCGGCTGTTGCTATAACAACAGCACCTCGGTCTCATTTCTTTTGAAAAATGAATTGCTGCTGGTGGGATGAAGCAGAGCAGCTTCTCCCCGTGGATGAAAGCCATGCTGACAGCCTCGACACTCTCTTGTTTATATGTTGGGTCTGTCACGGCATGTCCAAGCAGCTCTGCTGAAAATTTTGGGATGGTTTGGATTTAGACCATTTGGGTCCACATGTGTCTGTGTGTTTGCCTGCACAGCCTCTTTCCCCCTCGCCTCTCCCTCAATCAAGAGTCATTGAAAAAGTCAACCCGCCAAAGTTTGACCTTTTCTTGCTCTGCAACTGGAGTTTCTCCAAAGGCATAGAAAGTATAGCAAGTCCTGCTTCACTCTTCTTCGGGGTAGGAACTTGCTGTGAAATGCAGATCCAGCAGCCAAATATTTTGTGTAAATAAAGCAAAAGGTCTATGAAGCTGGCAAGGTTTTTATTTTATTTCAATATTTTTGTTTTGATTTAATATTTTCCTTTTATTTTTATTTTCTGTACCAAGTCTTCTGCTTCTAGACATAAATCTCTAAGCTGCTGCTAATGCCTTCATGATGCATACTGTAAATCACATGCACACAAGCTGTATACTACTACTTAGAAGGAGAAGGAAGATACTTTACAGGAGAATATGTTACTTCAGGCATTGTTTTTACAGAGGGAAGGGGAAGTGCTGGGATTTTAGTCTAAGACACTGTGGTGTCCTGGTGGTGGTAAACTTTGCCAGTATGTGGTCAGTGTATGATATTCAAGCCATCCAATAGTTGACATGGTAATTGGGAATGAACTCAAGATATAAAAATGAACGTTTGCATTGAAATAGTTTGATAAGACTATTTCTGCATTGTACCCCAAAAAGAAGAGATGCAGCTATTGTTGTGGCTCCCAATCCCTCTAAAATGCTAGAGCCAAGGTACTTCCCCACCTGCAAAGGTTGTATCCAGCATGTTGCCTTCAAATAAACCTTTCATGTTATGTTTCTGTCTACCTATAGTTTTTCAATGAGCAAACAAAGAAAATAAAAAGATCAGGTTTTTTTCTCGTGCCTGGTAACCCCTCAAATCCTAAAACCTCAGAAGGAGAATAATTTGGAGCTACAAACTTCCAATAGGTTTCATTTTGGGTTTTTTTTTTGCAACAAGGCATAATTGCTGCACATTTGATATTTGATGGAAAATAGTTTCCATATTAAAACTGCTTTTTGTTGTAATGCATGATAAACAGGATTCTTAATATTTACATACTGGGCCTGCTTTTACTTTCACTAAAGCCACCGTGTATTTGTACAGGGGAACATCCAAGTTTCAGCACATAGTGAAATTTTAGGAGCTGATATTTTTAGGGCTGGTTATTTACCACTAGATAGTTTTGATTCTTTTGGTAAACATTCATGTACAAATAAGGTGATGGATTTAAAATAAATTAGTAAATGATGTGAAACCTGAAAGTGTGGAACAATGTGGAAGTGTATCCCTCTTACCAATACTCTGTAAGGGATACCTTCAAACTGTTGTGAAATGTATGGAGGCAGTTTCCTTGTATTTATCAGGAGATAATCGCTCTCACTGATCTCTGACTTGTCATTAAGACAAATAATGAAGTTTTTTCCCATCTCTTCCTTATATGAACTTTTCTTCATGACTAGAAGTCTGTCACGAGATCCTTTGGTATGACTGTTCTGACTTTAGCCCAGCATTAGGCCAACACCAACTCAGGGCAAAAAAACATTGCTAGTTTTGGACATATCTTTGAAGCCCGTTTTTGTGTGTGTGTGCCCATTGAACTTGGTCTTGAGTCATTTGCCATTAGGTGACTGGTTTTTTTTTTTTTGATGTGGAAGGCAAACAGGGATGGTGATTTTGTAGTGAGTGGGCTTAGGAGCTGAAACGGGTGATTTCAGCTGTAAATTGTGTGAGTGGCTCATTAGGGGCAACACTCCAACATGCTGGTTTAAGCCGTTATATCACCTGTGTGACTGACCACCCACACTTGAGGCTGGATTGTGCTCGTTCTTTCACTGCCTGCTCTGAAAAAGGCGCCTTGGAAGCGACTGCGCGGCCGTCCTTGTGAAGCAGTGCCACTGCCACATCTGTACCGTCCTTTCCTCGTCTCCAGGGTCTGAACCGGGGCTATACAAAGATCAGTGAAACAAGCTCAGTGGCTCAGCTGTAGTCTTCTGCCACTTGCCAGTTACACCGGTCAAAAAGCAGCAGGGAGCTGTAACGCCGTACGGTGGTGTTCAGCCTAACATAGGTTTTTAGGGGAGGGAAGCAGCAGAGGTGAGCGCCATATCGTAAGCCTCCTTGTGGGATCTCATTTTTCTCATTTGCACTGGTCCTGGGTGTTGACTTACCTTTCACTTCGCTGTTAACTGGCACAGATGAGGCAATTACCACCCCTGGGCAAGCACCTTTTGCTAGAGCTTGCTGCTGCTGTGACACGGAGCGATGGAAAGGTGATGCCTCTGCTGCAGACTGCAGCTGATGAACATGACTCTGCAGGGCTTTAATCCAAAGAGTGCCAGTGCAGCGTGCGCTCCCACCTGCATCCGCTGCCATGTGCGGGACCCCGTCCCCCGGGCACCTGCGGAGCTCATGGGGGCAAGAGCTGCTGCAGTCAGGTAAGGGCAGAGAAGCGGGAGCTCGGTGATGGGGACTCCACACACGCAGTCCTGCGGCACAAGGAGAGGAATTTCTCAGCGCAAACCACTGGCCTTGGTGTCCCCTGACCCCCAGAAACCAGGTGTGGGGAAAGACTCAGGGTATGGAGAGCTCCTGCGGAGCTGCACAGGCACCTTGCACTGGAGGAAGAACCTGGCTGATCAACAGTCTACATGGAGAACTTGGCTGATCAGCAGGCTGTGGTCGCAGAGCAGCTGGTCTCTGCGCAGCACCACAGAAGCCAAGAGGAGAAGGAATTTCAGCCTGTGGGAGGCTTGGCACACGCTGGCTTTGTGCAGGGGGAACAGGCAGCAAAGTCTTAGGCACACAGGCCAACAAGGACCTGCTGGTGACTCTTAGCCATGTGTTACCCATTTCCCCCCATAAAAAAGTTGTTCTGTTCCAATAAAAATCAAGGAGTTGATGGTCTGCTTAAGGACTCATAGACTTGCTTTTCTGCTTTGTTATAAAGGTCACATGTCTCTGCACATAGCTTAGTGTCCCACGCGTGTTCAGCTGGGACTGCAGCAACGAGCGCGTTGGCCATGGCCTTCTGCCTCCCATGTTCAAGAGGCCATGCCGGCCTGAAGGGCACAGCCTTCTCGGAACCGCTACCTTGAAAACGGGAATAAGATATGGATTTGCTGGCCTGTCTTACACACAGGATGAAAGGGGAACCGGCCTTCTGAGATGGGAGAAATAAATGAGATCTGGGTTGTGGGAAGAAAAGAAGGTTGAGGACCTCTAGGTTAGGGAAGGGGTGGGAGCTGCACGTCTGGGTTTTTCATACCAGTAAAAATACTTTGAAAATTGATAAAATCTTTCAGTATTTTGTCTTCTATTGTTCTAGTATCAAGGATGCAAGTGTGTCCTGAAGGCGTTCGCTAGAGCTGTGACCTCTTTGCTTCCTCCCCTCCCCACTATTGTTTTTTTGCCTTAGCCGAAGAGGGATGCTTTTTTTAGCCTGGTACATAAGCAGAGGACTTAAGGTTTGGTGTGACAGGAGAGGACTGTAGGTTGTTCAAGTGCTTTGCTATGCTTCTTTTAACCTGAATTAAAGCTTATATTCATACACTATTTTTTTAATAACATTCTTATGTTCTAATTTAATTGCTTTCACAGAGACTCGTCTTGCTATTATTTCTGTTAGTTATTTATCTTTTACATTAGCTCCTAGCACACAGGTTATTTCTTTTTTTTTCATTACTTGATTGAGTTAACATCATGCAAAGTGCCTTCTATATTTTAGGGTGGATATATTTTTTTCCTCACTTAAAACTGATTCTCAATGTGTTTTGTAGCCAAGAACAGAAGGCTAATCAAATGAAACTATGTTAATGAATTTTCTCAAAAAATCTTAGTGTCAACAGCACGTTTCAATACAAGTAGTCAATCAATTGTATTGCAGGTATATTTCAAGAAGCTTCTAGAAACTTCCAACAAAAAGATTTTCAGAATAAATAGTAAATTTTAGTGATTCCATTTTTTTTGGTCCAATTTAAGTCTCCTCATTGTGTTAGGCACTATTTAAGTCTCATGACTGTGTTAGGCACCAAAAAGTTGAATTAGTCAACTTGCTTGATCATATTCTGGTAGTTTGGAGAGCACAGACATATTTTACAGTTCTGCTCTCCTATTCAGGGGCAGGTTTGGTTGTGGTTTTTTTGCTTTGAGTGTAGGGTTTTTTTTGGGTTTTTTGTTTGTTTGTTTTTCTCAAATTGATCAAGGCATAAGAATGAAATCAAAGAAACTTCCTAATCAGAGCTTTTTAAACTTATTGTCACTAGTGGGCTTGATGAGAAGTATCTGTCACAAGGCTCATCAGTACTGTTTTTGTCTCTGCAATTGGCTAATGTGTTGTGGTTTTTTCTCTTGTTGTTTTTTTAAGCTTCAAGAGACAGTCAATAGGAAGTTGGAAGGCGCACGTTCACCTCTCAATGGAGAACAGCAGAATGGAGTTTGTGACAGGAGCTTTTCTCCAACCAGCAAACGGATACGGAAGGACGTACCAGGCATTGAGGCAATCAACAGCTTGCCCAATAATTTGCCTTTGCCCGCTGTTTCTCCCCTTCACCAGCTTGACATGAAAGCTCCCCTGCCCCTGCAAAACAGTGGAACTCATGGTGGTGGTCTAGAAGACTTGGGTAAAAATGGTGGGCTTTCTGAGATAAAGCTCCCCATTAATGGTTGCAACGAGCTCGACGATAGTTTTAACATCCTGCAGAGCAAGGAGCTAAAGCAAGAGCCTTTGGACGACCCCAGCTGCATAGACACTTCTGAAACATCTCTTTCAAATCAAAACAAGCTTTTCTCAGACATTAACCTGAATGATCAAGAGTGGCAGGAACTAATAGATGAACTAGCAAACACCGTTCCAGAAGATGATATACAAGACTTGTTCAACGAAGACTTTGAAGAGAAGAAGGAGCCGGAATTCCCCAGGCCTGCCACAGAGACGCAGGAGAGTGCAAGCGTGAAAAGCGATCCATCTCATTCTCCATTTGCTCATGTCCCATTAGGATCTCCTCAGGTGAGACCTTCTTCTTCTGGTCCTCCGTTTTCAAATGTCTCTACAGCCTCTAGCATAGCTTCCGTGTCCAGCGCCCCGCCAGCCCCAGTCGGCTCACCAGCAAACTGTGCTGTTCAGTCACCTCCAACTCCCAGCCAGGTCCACGCTCCAGGCCAGGCGCAGACGCGGTCTGGAAATGGCTATCTTATGAACCCAGCAGCAGTGGCAACTGTGGCGGGATCAGGGCCAGGGCCAGTGAACATGCCAAGCGCCGACTTGTCTCCAGCTGAGCAGCTCAAGCAAATGGCAGCCCAGCAGCAGCAAAGAGCTAAGCTCATGCAGCAGAAGCAGCAGCATCCAAATCAAGCCTCAAGCTGGTCACCTGTGGGCCCTCCATCTAGTCCATATGGAGGACCCTTCAGTGCAGACAAACCAAATAGTCCAATGATGTATCCCCAAGCCTTTAACAACCAAAACCCAATAGTGCCTCCTATGGCAAGCAATCCGCAGAAGACCACGATTAATAACTACCTCCCTCAAAATCACATGAATATGATCAGTCAGCAGCCAAATAACCTGGGCACAAACTCTTTAACCAAACAGCCCAATATGCTTTCTTACGGCAACACCAAACCTCTGACCCACTTCAACGCTGAGCTGAGTCAGAGGCTGACCCCACCGATGGCAAATTCTAGCAAGAACCCCATGATGCCGTACATCCAGCAGCAGCAGTCCCAGCAGCCGCAGATGCAAGCTCAGATGACGCACCTGAGCGAGGAACAGAAACGCATGCTCATCATGAAGCAGAAAGGAATGATGAACCAGCCCATGGCATATGCAACACTTCCTTCCCTTGGTCAGGTAAGCGCGAGCGCACGATATGCGGGCAACCAAAAGGAGGCTGTTGCAAAGGCTTAGTAACTCTTTGTAAGGTCTTCTCCTCCCTCTTCCTCTTTGTCTTGGAAACTATGGAATGTCATTGCTGACTCTTCTTGGACTTTTCAAGTGGTATTGGAGCTTGATTATTCTAAGAAAGGACTGAAATGATGTTGTGTTGTACTTTAGAAATGTTGTTAAATGGCTGCTTTTCTGGACTAGTGCTCTTTACCTGTGGTTCTGCTGATGAGTGCTTGGGGCCGCTCTGGGAAGTTTTGGGGCAGAAGTCACTCCTCCTTGAAGGATTCGTTTCTTTTTTTTTCATAATGTAAGACTCGATGCTTTTGGATCCCAAACCACTGCATGGCTTAGTTTTCACAGTGTAGTTTTAGCATTGTAACAAAAAGACAGAGTGGTCGACTCCTTCTTCTTGGGGCAGGGATCCAAATGGCTCGAAGCACCATATTTGGCATTTTGGCGCAGGGAACAAAAGAAGGATGTTTTGGGTGCTGAGTGCCTTTGGTTTCCACTGGAGCAAGTAAGCATAACTGAATGCTTTTAGTGGTGCTTGAACCATGCCTGAAATGAGATGGTTTATTCCAGGACTTTCAGCAATCCTTAGCAACCTCAAGTATTTTATTGTTACAAATCTGCAGAGACTTTTGGCAAGATGCTAAAGCCATGTTGGCTTGAGTGACCTGGCATCGCTGTCTCACAGGTATTCCATGCTGGCCTCTGGAGCGGCAGCTGCCAGGCTTGGGGAATGTTTTGGAATGAATTCATGACTGATTTGAATAGTGGCTATAGTAATGCCCTATGGCCTCCTAGGTCAGCTGGGTATTCTTGGTTGCGCAGCCCCTGTAAAGATCTGCACACTGGTGTCATGGAAAGACTTGAAAGTAAGTTTTCTGAATGTTGTTTTAAGGGTTTTGAAAAGAGTTAATAATCAGTTCACAAAGTAGGTGATGCCTTCACAGAAGTTATGTGCCACCAAAACATGTCAGAATTCTGATACAATAGTACACTAATAGAATTGTTGGTCGATAGATTTAGCGTAATAGCTTTTTACCAAATTAGCTATTTCCACACCACCTACAAGGAGTACTTCCTTCTGAGCATGGTTTAACTGTGACTCACGCGGTAATGCATGTAGAAATACAGCAAAATTTGTCATTTCTTCAGCCTGTGGAGTCTGGAGATCTACCAATAGGAGGAGTAGGAGCTTTACCAGGTCAGATCCCATCACATTACTTAAAATTAATTGCGAAACAAAAAGAAATGTTCATCTGCCTCCTGCTTTTGGTTCAGGATGTATGGTGACAGCTCAAAGGTTCGTATCTCTATTTTAATTCTCCTTGCCTATTGCATTAGAAATAGCTGGTCTAAAACCTCTTCTTTTTGTGAAGACTTATCTAGAGAAATACTGCGATAATAGCTCAGACTGTAATTTGAGGTACAGAATTTGTCAGGTTGTAACTGAGAGGCAGAGGATGTTTGGTCAGGCTGCCTAATGCTTATCATCTCTTTTCTTTGTTTTTGTTAAATCTGTTGAACTCGAAGACTCATCAAACAGTTGAAAGGACAAACTGCATGTGTGAAAAGAGTTAATGTCATCTCCATTTCATAAATTGAGAAATTCACATTAATATCTCACTGCAGTTCTCCAGTGTGAACAGGAAGTCAAAGATTTCATATATCTTATCTCATTCAGTTCCTTTTTTTTTAATGTAGGAAAAAGTAGATATTTGGATACAACTAGACATTCTTCCAAAACAAGTCCAGATATTAAGTCATTTCTATGTCTCATACAGAAGAAACTTAAGGCAAAGCCATACTTTGTTACATAATATGTGCAATTCACATTTATCGACCCAGTCAGGATGAGGGACTTGTTACTTATGTGTAGATGTAGAAAGGTCCCTTCACTACTTGTGAAGCCCACTTGCCTACACTGAAGGGATTTTGTTTGGTGAGGAAGATTGAAATCATAGATTTCTAACTGTAATATATTTCTTCATTCTTTCCCTTCCTGCTTCCCTGAAAAGCATTTTTCTGTGGAAAATTGGAAAGCTTATTATTGCGAGATGTGCTTGGTGGAAACAGATTGTTTTTGCAAAGGTGGTAAAAACGATATGTTGATATTGTTGAGTTAAATCCAGGCTGATGCAGATTATCTGATTCTGCTACTCACTGCAGGATGCAGACGGTCAGATTTGCCAGATCATCTATGGAAAATAGGGAGATTGCACTCTTCAGTTTGAAATGTGTTTCTGAATGTAAAGTGAATGTGTCTTTCTGTCAGGTTATAGTTTCTACTTTCATTGTAGTGTGTGTATGTTAAATAATCATGAGGATTTAACAAATGGCATTTAAGAAGGGGGAAAATAAAATCTAGCTATTGCATCTCATGATTAGCACTAACCATATATTTCTGTCGGATGACTATTACAAGGGCATGTTCAAGAACCAAAAGATGATTTGGGGAACTTGAGGCATGTACAAAACCACCTGGTCTTATTTTCTGTGTACTACTGTAAAATTCAAGTATGACTGGTTGTGTGCATGTGTCCATATGTGCACTATGTGTGCTAATTAAACCTATGTCCATGTGGGCCTAAGGTAGTTCTGTTGTTGACAAGCAGAATTTCGACATGCGCTCGTCGCTTCAGCCGTTGAGCGTATTTTAGAGAGACACACCAGTTTTTCCGTCCAGCTGAGACCTTGCAAACCCTCTGCGGAGGTCAGTTGCCCGTGACTGCCCTATTAACGTGTCAGCGCTGGTGCTCCGGGCTCGTGTCCTGGGCTTGCTGAGCATCACTGCGCGCTCTTGTAAGGAGAGGTGAGCAGCAAGAGAGGAGGCCGTGCAGTTCAATATCCACGTGAGTGGTGGGACAGGCAGAGTGCTAAATTAGCTGCTTAGCTAGCGAAGCTAGCATCCGACAAAAGTAGGATTTCTCTAAAGGCTTTCTGCACTGTCGGTGTTGAAACTCTTCCTGTCAGATGTGTTAGTGCTTTGCTTTGCTGTGCAGATCTGGGACTGGGACTGGCATCGCGGCTGTAACCTCCGTCATGCTAATGCGGAATGACCCGTATGCCCCGAACCACCATGTCCTCTGTTTTATACTATAGCTTGGTTTTTCCAAAGGAGCACTGGATGGGATATTTGTTTTTCCATAAGGCAGATACTGGTTTGGATTTTTGAGTCAGGGGTTAGCCTGAAGGTAATTCAGACCACATGTTGTGGAGTTGACTGTTAAAACCATGGTCAGATCCTGACCCATCTATATTGAGCAAGGCTCTGACCTGCTACTAGCGTTCCCTTGTGCCCAACTGTTCTCCACTTGGTCAGGCTTGTACTTAGAAATCCCTGCTCTTTGCCTTGCCCCACGTACCCTGATCTGCCCTAAACCCACTTGTTTGTACGTGGCAGGTATTGCTCTTTAGCTTCTTGCTTTTCATGGGTGGTTCTTT